CCACAATAAACTCACCTTGCAATGGAAAGGACCTTTTGAAGTACAGGAAGTACTCAACAGAATGGACCACAAGGTGAATGTGAACGGAAAGATTAAGATCTACCATTTGTTGAAGAAGTATTTTGGGAGAGAAGAAGACCTGAAGGGTGCAGCTATTGAAACAGAAATGGATGTTGCAGGTGTGGCTATCATAGATGCAGAACCAGAAAACAGTGACTTTGTCTTAACAGATGAGAACCAGCTAGTCCTAAGACCACTAGGTGGAGATGAAACATACAAAGATGTCAACATCAGCAAAGAACTGACTGGCAAGGAAAATGAGTTACAAGACCTACTGTACCAGTACGCAGATATTTTCACTGATAAACCAGGAAAGACAGACATTGTGCAACACAAGATCGATACTACAACCAGGGATCCAGTCAAAGTGAAGCCCAGTCAGATGCCTTATGCAGTGGGAGATCTGATAAAGCAGGAAGTTGAGGCAATGTCGGAAGCTGGAATCATCGAGCCTTCAAAGTCATCCTTATGTTCACCAGTTGTAAACGTGAAGAAGAGGGAAGGATCAAACCGTTTCTGCATAGACTTCCGGAAGTTTAACCTCGTGACAAAGTTCGACTCTGAACTTATGAACAACCCAGAGGCCATCATCACAAAACTAGATGGGGCCAGGTTCTTTTCAAAGATTGACTTCAGTATCCTCAGAACTATAGGTTCCGCATTGAGGCCATCAAAGGAACTGCAAATGTTGGAGCAGACTGTATGAGCAGACTTTGTATTTGAACTAAGAACAGTCTTTGTATATAGTAAATATATATATATATATATTGTAAATATTTTATCTAGAAGAGGGGTTTGTGTCATGATATAAAATACTTTTTGTTTTAAATATTAATGATTAGTTTATATTTAAGAGTGAATATTTTATTATTTTTAAGTTTTGTTAGAATAAGAGTTTAAAGCAGAAGATTTTAGAAGGTTTTGTTAATAACTAATTGGTGTAGAGAATATAGAAAGTGGCCAGACGACAATGTAATAAAGGTATAAATAGTGTGAGACGAGCGGGAAGCAGCAGACAGACAGTATTAGATAGATAAAAGCAAAGAGAATATAGTTGTGTGAAGCTGAGTAACGTAAAAGTGATATGGCTAACGTTTGATATACATATGTATGTTAGAGTGAAACTAACAGTGAAAAAGTAAATAAGAAAAAATAAGTTTATTCCGCTAAAGCGAAATTCTAAAGAAACTGAATCAGCTTGAGGACACTTTGACAAAAGGAACATAGGATCTTCAGAAGAAAGAAGACCACAATTGTAAGTGAATCACACCAGACTAATAATAATATTGCGATAGTATTAGAGAAAATAGTTCGGCTTGTCAACTGAGATTCTAAAGTAATTGAACGGGCCCAAGTGGACTTTTAACAAGAAGAGAAGAAATATACATATACTGATATAACGTTTACGTTATGCTTATATTCTCTATAGTGTGAATACTTTATTGTACATACTTGTTAGATGACGAGGAACCCACTTTGAGACTAATAATGCCTGGGGACGGCTTGAATAGGTAATGAAGAAAAACTTTAATGTAAGTTTAACATAACAGCAAATGCACAACATTTGAACATGGGGTCATTATCATTAGCCAGGCTAGCTAAGTCGATAGAGCATGAGACTCGTAATTTCAGGATCGTGGGCTCGAGCCTAACGTTGGGCGGTAATATATTAATTTTATTGTACATATGTTTAACTTGTTCCAAATATATGTATTATTTGAAAACAAGTAAAGTGCGTGTTGTTTTTTCATCATTGAATTTATTGCTAACAAGTCACAGACATTTACTGTAGAAGAATTTGATCTAAGCCCAACAACATAGAAATATAAGTAAAAGCCGTTTATTTCGACAATTGGAAAAAAAAAAGAACCCATATATAATATTATTTTTTAAAATCTGATAATAATAATATATGAAGTAATAGTACCTTAGTACCGAGGTAGTATTTAGCCAGTATAGCCCGCCATGTAAAACAGTGAGTGCGCGAGATAATCTGTCTCCCGAGTTTCATAACAGATATTAATATATGAAGTTTAGTCTGAGTACTTATACTGGATAATAATGTATCAAGTGTAGTCTTGATACGCATTATAGATAATAATGTATCAAGGATAGTCTTGGTACACAAAATAGATAATAATGTATCAAGTGTAGTCTTGATACGCATTATAGATAATAATGTATCAAGGATAGTCTTGGTACGCATTATAGATAATAATGTATCAAGGATAGTCTTGATACGCATTATAGATAATAATGTATCAAGGATAGTCTTGATACGCAAAATAGATAATAATGTATCAAGTGTAGTCTTGATACGCATTATAGATAATAACGTATCAAGGATAGTCTTGGTACACAAAATAGATAATAATGTATCAAGTGTAGTCTTGATACGCATTATAGATAATAATGTATCAAGGATAGTCTTGGTACACAAAATAGATAATAATGTATCAAGTGTAGTCTTGATACGCATTATAGATAATAATGTATCAAGGATAGTCTTGGTACGCATAATAGATAATAATGTATCAAGTGTAGTCTTCGAACACCTAATGGGTAATAGTATATCAAGTGTAGTCTATGAACACATAATAGATAATAATATATTACAAAGATAGTTTTTATTTGCGATTACATCATTTTTAAAGACATATTTTATCAACATGTATTTGGACAAGTTAGACAATCATTTGATATAATAAGTTTTTAACATTTGATGAGCAAGCATTACGGCTCATCAAGATTCGCTCGGTTTAATTGTTTGCTGCTTTTCCTAAAAATCTAAACTTTGATGTTTGTTACAATTCTCTGTCCTATGCATAAGACTATATACATATTTCGTTTACGGAGCAGCGCGCGCATCTGTTACGGGAGACGTTCCATAAAGAAGTTAGCTAGACTGCTGACAGGAAAACTACATTGAATCTTACGTGTGACGAACACACTTTGGACCGTGACTTACGCAAACCGTGCGACGTTTCAACGTTTTAACGATAGTAATAAGGCACTGAGGCCTAGAAGTCCTGCTTTAATGGAAGGTGGGAGTACGACTTCTACTTACATGTCTGGTCATTTACCACCTGGAGCACCACTGACCAAAACCGACGAGGACATCTTGCGAGACGCTTATCAACTAGACCAGAATCTACCAAACGTTCCTGGAGGGTCGCCTCCTCCTGGACAAACTTTAACTAACTCCTCGGCCAGTGGATCCCTTAGTCTGGCATCTGAAGCCAGCCCACCTGGACATCCAGCACTGGCCGAGGTAGTATTTAGCCAGTATAGCCCGCCATGTAAAACAGTGAGTGCGCGAGATGATCTGTCTCCCGAGTTTCATTTGGCCCCGTCTACAGGCTCCCGAACTTTCAACTACGGAGTCGAAGCAACTCTGTCATCACCAAGTGCTGTGGTCGAAGGGGTACAGGAATGTAGACTAATAGATTTTCACGGTGCAAAACTTGCAGCTTTCCGCGTTAACGGCGAGGACCTTCTGTGTCTGCCTCAAGCCTTTGATCTGTTTTTGAAGCACCTGGTCGGTGGGCTGCACACAGTGTACACCAAGCTCAAACGACTGGACATTACTCCTATTGTGTGTAACGTGGAGCAGGTACGACTTCTACGCGGACTAGGTGCCATCCAACCTGGCGTGAACCGCTGCAAGCTGTTATCTTGTAAGGACTTCGAAGTTCTCTACAGAGACTGTACCACTGCCAGGTAAGCTAATCCAGAGATAGATGGGGAGTGATAACTTTTCTGAGATTAGAACTGAAGATAATCTAAATATCAGTATCATAAAAATATAAGTCTGTCTTGTCGAGCAACACAAATTAAATATTGTTTATTGTGTAAGTATAGTTGTCATTTGAAACAGAGGCAAAATTATAATTTGGAAATAATTTTAATAAATTAATTATGTTACGATTATCACGACAATTTACTGCAAAATGAAAGATATAATTTCAGTCTTGTGAATATATGGTAGATGTAAATATAGATTACTTCAAAAGGTAGCTAGACATCTGATGCTTCATTGTGATTCGTGATTACTTCTAACAGTAGATAGACATCTGTTTCTTCAAGGTAATCGGTGTTTATTTCAGAAGGTAGCTAGACGTCTGTTTTTCAATGCTATCTGTGTTTACTTCATAATGTAGCTAGATGCTTCTTTTTGCAATGTTATCTGTGTTTACTGCAGAAGGTAGCTAGACACCTGCTTCTTCAATGTTATCTGTGTGTACTTCAGAATGTAGCTAGACGCTTCTTTTTGCAATGTTATCTGTGTTTACTGCAGAAGGAAGCTAGACACCTGTTTCTTCAATGTTATCCCTGTGTACTTCAGAATGTAGCTAGACGCTTCTTTTTTGCAATGTTATCTGTGTTTACTGCAGAAGGTAGCTAGACATCCGTTTCTTCAACGTAATCTGTGTTTACTTCAGAAGGTAGCTAGACATCTGTTTCTTCAATGTTATCTGTATTTACTGCAGAAGGTAGCTAGACATCTGTCTTTTCAACGTAATGTGTTTACTTCAAAATGTAGCTAGGCATGTGTTTCGTCAATGTTATCTGTGTTTCATGTAACATGTGTTACTATAGAAGATAACTTGACATCTCTTTCTTCAATGTAATCTCTGTTTACTTCAGTTCAGAAGGTAGCTAGACGTCTGTTTTTTAATATAATATTTGTTTACTGCAAAAGTAACTAGACATCTGTTTCTTCATTGTAATCTGTGTTTACTTCAACTTGGTGCATAAAAAGGGACTATTCTATTAATATAGAGCTTAATGTAAAGTGCACTTGATTTAACGACAATTAGAAGTTTGTGATGATAACTAGTTTTCGAATGAAGGACATCAGAGTAATTCATTTCAGTCTGATAATTTTAAGCAGGCGTAGAGGTTATCAAATTTATATATGGATAACATTAACATTGATAATCGATGGATGGAAAAGTTGCCAAAATAACCGTAGATTTCTTCTTTATGTACTGTCGTAATAGTTGTTTTCATTTTAAGAGGCTGTCATAAATGCTACATTCGTCTGTATAAGATGTCGTGATATATTCTTTTTATCTCTAGATGCTGTCACAATAGTTGCTTTATTTGTAAAAAATTGTCGTAACAGATGTTTTCATACTTATCGTAAATATTGCATTTATCTGTAGATGTGACAGTTGACTTTATCTTTATAAACTATTGTGATAGTTGTTTCCACCTTTCTTAGATACCACACACACAAGAGATTACTGGAACGATTGTGAGTTACTTTTATGGTCATCTAATGTCCGAGATTAAGTTAAAAAAACGTTTGCTATATCTAGGAAATAATAATAGCAAGTCTCTTACCTGTTGTACTAAAGCATATACACGTAGTAAAGCGAAACTCATCTTCTGTACTAAAATATACACATAGAGCAAAACGAAACTTACCCGTTATACTAAAGTATCCTTTCATAACAAAATGAGACTTAACTGTGTTACTAGAGTATTCTTACATAACAAAACGAGATTTAACTGTGGTACTAAACTATCCTTACATAAGAAAACGAGACTTAACTGTGGTACTAGACTATTCTTGCATAACAAAACGAGATTTAACTGTGGTATAGAGTATCCTTACATAACAAAACGAGATTTAACTGTGGTACTAGAGTATTCTTGCATAACAAAACGAGATTTAACTGTGGTACTAGAGTATTGTTACATAACAAAACGAGACTTAATTGTGGTACTAGAGTATACACACACACACACACACACACATAACAAAAATCTTTTAATTTTGTATTATAGTATATATACACACAAAGCAAAAACTACCTTTCACCTATAACAAAGTAATGTTGATTATTTTATATAGATGAATAAAAAAATACGTAAATAAATTCATCGTTGTTATGATTAGTTGCCTATACGATCATCTAAGTATAACAATTATTTACTGCTTATTTATATCAGCTATAAGTTATTAAGTAATTTATAACCTACGTTTCAGCTGCTAACATCCTTCAGGAAATCCTAAAAAGGACTCTTTTCTGCGTTAGTAGTGGCCGACTTTCAATCCTGGATATTCTTCATGAATGTCTGGTGCGTTATCCACTGAACTGAGGGTTGGGGTCTTTCCACGTTGAACTTGCATCAACGAATGTTTTCAAGAGGGCATCCAGGTTATGTTTACTTCTATGCTAGGTTGACTAAGTGTGATCAGTTAGGTTGATGTAAAGGATTCTTTTACTTCTCTTTTTCTCTTGTATGGTTCACATCCTATTATTTTAGTATTATTCCAATCTATCGTATGTTCTTCTTTGACATGATAAACTATTGCAGATAGATCGGTATTACCGAGTCTTGATGTCCATTATGCTCCAGAATCCCAACTTTTGTTGGCCTTTTTATTTTTTAAGTGTTTTGGAAGCCATATTCACAAATGTAGTAAATGTTGTTTTTCCTCCCCATTTGTACTTTAGGTAGTTTGATGTGTACTATCGATGATCGTGTTGTGGCTTTTGAATACTGTTCTAACTTTATGTTGTTTATATATATCGTATGTAAGTTTTCAGAGAGATCTCTGACATAGGGGAATATGACTGTGTGTCAGTAATTTTCCTATTGTATATTTTCAGTGTTTATCAAGTGTTCCGCTTATCCATTGTTACGGGTGGTTGCAATGATGTATTTTTATTCTGCCTTTTTAGTTTCTTTGTTATTACAAATCTTGTTCACTCTTGAAACTACGCAGTCTATGATGCCTGCCTTTGCACTGTTGACGTGGTTTGATTTATAAATGAAGTATCTACCTGTATTTATGTGTTTCCCGTACAGTCCTGTGCTATATAAGCTATGTGATGGTATATATATATATATGTGTGTGTGTGTGTGTGTGTGTGTGTGTGTAGGGTACTCAGTGCAGAAACATTTATATCCGATTGCCATAACATCACCATAAGAACTTAGAGACAAAATTACTTGTATGATATAAATGACAAACAAGGTGAAATTAACTGTTTTTTATAGTAAAGTATACACGTATAGATAAATTACACTGGTCAACAAAATCTAATTGTTTTCCCTTATTAAAGATGTAAGCACACTTTTCTAGGCCAATTTTGCACGCTGAGTCCAAATCTTTTTTCGGTTTTCTTCTAGCACATCTAGTTATCGAAATATGACTGGTGTTAATTTCAGCATACTTTAGGTAATAATCACACATTAGGCTAGTTAATGTTACAACTTTATTCATTTTTCAGTATAATTCCCATAAACGTTATACACACCATACACTTGGTTCAATTAGTAAAGTACACAATTATGAAAAATCAACCTACAACAACTTAAAAACGCTGCGAGTATGCTTTTCTTTTGTAAACTTTGTCCGGATTGTCGCAGTACAACATCCTGCAGTAGTCTGCCAAACATACTTTCGTTCCAGCGATTTTCCATTGCCTGAATGTCTTAATAGAAGGGTGCCCCCTACTCGTCACTCACCGCGCCAAAGTTTTCGGGAAAAAAATCTAAACGAGAATGTAAAAAAGTTCAATTTCAAGGACATGTGACAGCCCATTTTTTTATTTTTATTGAGCAATTTCTGGGCTCCATCTTTGCATGCGGGAGACTTGTGGTTACCCAAAAAGTTTCCCCAAATCCACCTGAAAGCCTGCCATGCTTTTAGTTCTAAGACACTGAGGCTTTCTTCACATCCTTCATCCTGCAGAACCTCCCTGATTTGGGGCCCCACAAAGATTCCCTCCTTCAATTTCGCGGCATTGATGTTTGGAAATTTCTCAACAAGGTGCTGAAAATCTCTAGGATTCGTCTTACCCATCGCTTTCACAAAATTCTTAAATCAAACAGAGCTTAATGTGGAGAGGTGACAGGAAAACCTTCTTTGGATCAACTAAAGGAATACACTGGACACTGCTTGTTCCTGACTCGTATTTGCTTCTTTGTGCATATTCTCACATCGTAGGTGGGCTAGATAGCTCTTGGGACGCTGATTCCAAATCTGTTTTTGGCTTTCCACGAGCACGTCTAGTTTCATGATAAGACCGATCAAATTTGAAAGGTTATTGCCTTAATTAATTATATCTAGCCCACCTATAATTATATCTGATGAAAATGGCTTGTTGACCAGTGTTATCTATTGAACTTAATTGCAGTTACCTGTTTTACAAACATACACAAACCTAATAAAACAAGACTCACCTTACCAATTAAGCCATCCTCCGGTGAGTCAATGGTAAGTGTTTGGACTTACAACGCTAAAATCAGGATTCGATTCTCCGCGATGAATTTAATTGTACTTACGTGTTTTACAAACAAACACACACCTAATAAAACAAGATTCACCTTACCAATTAAGCCATCCCCCGTTGAATCAATGGTAAGTGTTTGGACTTACAACGCTAAAATCAGGGTTCGATTCTCCGCAATGAATTTAATTGTACTTACGTGTTTTACAAACAAACACACACGTAATAAAACAAAGCTCACCTTACTAATCAACCTATCTCCCACTGGGTCAGTGGTAAGTATCTGGACTTACAATGGTAAAATGCGGGGATCAATTCCTCACGGTTTACAAAGAGCAGATAATCTATCGTGTAGCTTTGAGGTAAAAAAACATTATCACCACCAACAACAATAAACAATACTAAGCCAATGTATAATACATGTTGTTGTTTTTTACCAGCACTATCAGAATATACAACTAAACAACT